AGGAGGACCAGAGGAGGACCAGGAGGACCAGGAGGACGAGGAGGACGAGGAGGACACGGAGGAGGAGGAGGAGGAGGAGGAGGAGGAGGAGGAGGAGGAGGAGGAGGAGGAGGGAGGAGGAGGAGGAGGAACACGGGACGCATAGAGAGACGCGCCGAGTTAGGGGTCAAGACGGAGCAGCAGCGATGGGGGAGCAGAGCAGGGGTGGAGGAGGAGTAGGGCGAGGGGGAGGGGGAAGCTAGGATTTCAGGTAGTTTGGCTTTGCTTTAGAGCTCTAGTAGATCGGCGTTGAGCTTCGCAGACAGACAGACATGTGCGATGCCTGTATTCGCACCGTGGCAAGGAGAAGCGTCTCTCTTATCTCCGCTCTGGTAGCGGAACCGCCTGTCGGGGCGGCGCGCGCGGCCCCCGCCAGGCCGGCGCAGCGATATTACATCGTGCAGCTTAAGATCGACCAGCAGAGCAGAAACTACAGGTTTCTGGACGCTTACCTCAAGAAGGTGAGCCGCACCGACAGCTCGGCGTTCTCTTGAACTTCGAGCTCGACATCTACATCCCCTTCAGCAGCGCCAGCGCAGCGGAAGTATATAGTACCTCCTACGCGGCCTGGCGATATCATTACACACGGTGCAGCATGCGGATATCATCTTAAGATCTACAAGCGCACGTTCTTCACAATGAGAGAGTTCATTGGTGGACAGCTACCCCTCGAAGAAGCTACGCGTCAAACGCCACCCGGCTGGAAACCAGGTGTAGCTAAGTATGGCATCGAGAACGATCTTCAGACGTTGAGTTTGTGGTGGAGAACGAAGAGCATCGAGGATGAGAGTGTGGCGGCATTACTTGTATTGCAGCGCCTTCAGGGCGGAGCCTTGAAGCAGGCCATGCGATTCAAAGTTGTACGAGATGGAGCTGAATATGTTGGTGAAAACGTTTTCGCTCTCACGAGAATCGCGGAAGACCTTCGGCTCGGCCTCCAAGCTCAACCCTCTGGGTTATCATTGTTCACAAGATGGCTCCCTGCAGAGCATTGTCTTGACGAGCAGGATTCAGTCGGCACCGCGCTGGATAAGCTGCTCAGTTATAAGCGTGGACCTCGTGAAATCCTGGAGTATCTTTCAGACTTTGAAACGCATGATCAGGTCGGATTAACCATCAACGCTGCTGGCAGAAACTATTTGATGCTGGCAGGTTGTGGTTTACCACGAGCAAGCGAGGCGACGTCGAGCTCAATATCGACGGCGACCTCAACAGATATGGAGAGATTGGAAGCTATCCTTTCTCGGCTCGCCACGCAGAGTCAGGCCCGGGACAATCTTGAGCAGCGCGGCGGCTACTGGGTCGATTCTGATGACGACTACGAGGAGTGCGGCGAAGGCTATTATGTCAGTCGAGGCTACTGGCATTCTTATTATGATGAGTGCTGGGAATGAGAAGAGTACGAGCACGATGATGCCCGCGATCGCGGCGGCGACGCCTACAAAGGATCAGGCAAGAGGAACAATCCTGGCAATTGCAGCAAGTGCGGTTCCAAGTGGCATAACGCGACGGACTGCCCGGCGGGAAAATATAGGGGCGAGGGCAAGGATGTTCAGAAGGACCAGAACGACACTCTCGGCAAGGGCAGGGGCAAGAGCAAGGGCAAATGACGCGGCAGCGGCGCTGGTAAAGGCGACAGTTATGATCGTGGCAAAGGATGCGGCAAGTCTCGTGGTCGAGGTAAAGGACGCGGCAAAGGCAGAAAAAGGCAAGCGAAGCAGCCGCCAAGGCAAGCGTCGTGAACACTACGAGGACGACTACGATGACGAGTACCACGATTATGAGGATGGCCGGTGGGGTCTCGATAGCACTGGTAACTGGTATCATGCAGAAGCCCCCCTACAAATCAGGAAAAAAAACAGGTTCACAAAGCAGAGATTGACAATCATCCACTTCGACGATGGCAGCGCCCCACTTTCGACGTGAGCAGCATCTTCATGGTCCTCTTTGCAGACTACTCAGTCACGCGATTTTGACGGAGCAGAAGCAGTGACTCCACCGAAGAATTCCATGGGCGCCCATGCTGGGGATAACATTCCGAGGGCGCCAAAGGCAAGCGCGGCGAGATCATCGCCGAGTGGGCGACCTCCACCATCAGGTAAGCAGGCATCGTGGACACCAAGCTTGAGTGTTCTGCATGAAGAAGATACCCCGGCTCAACAGGAACCAGCTGAGGATGCGCCGGCAGTTCGACGTGGCGTGGTACCTGGCGGCTTGGAGTTTCTTGTCAGAGATCTGGGCGATTCAGATCATTGACAGTGCCCCGTGCATGATATGAACCCAAGCAGTTATCGCATGGTTCGAGGGCGGAAGAGATAGGGGCTACTGTGCGACCCCGGAGCGGCATCGGGCATCGCCAGCGCCGACGCGGTCAGAGAGTATCATCGAGATATCATTCCTAAGACGGACATAGAGACCCGACCGACGAAATGTAAGTTTTCAGGCTATGATGGCAAGCCCGCTCCAGGCATCGGCAAGATCGTTCTGCCCATGATGTTTCCTGCCCTCATGGGGGCACCCTTCGCGGGCGATATGATCGGAAATCGTTGCAGTTTCTGTCCTGGTGTTCTTCCTTTATCGACTTCTATGAGGTATGGGGCAGTGATGTTCAGCAATGCGTCTCCCAATGGAGATGGCATTCTGGTTTTGCGCCCGCGGACTCTGGCGCAGATGGGCGGCGAGCGGAAGCCATCACTGATGCGCGTCGGACTATTCGTCACGGAGTCTGGGCACTATATCATGCCAGTCGACAACGTCTCGACGAAGGAAGATGTTGATCAGCAGTGCCTGAACGGGCGCGTCATGAATCGCATTAACTGGTGCATCAGCTTCAAACCCTCGGCGGCAGCATCCAGAACTCCGACGGCAGATTTTCGTCAAGAGCACACGCCCTTGGACGCTGGCACCGGTAATTATCATCATTTTTCAGATAGCGAGCAGGACATCATCAGTCAGCTCCAGAACCTGACCAGCAGCATCCAGAACCTTCAGCAGCAGATCAAGCCCCATGGCGACAGCAATGGCAAGTTCTCGGCTACTGAGAATGCAGGTCATCAGAAATGCCAGCACCTCCTGAAGAGCCCGCGGCTAGCTATATGTCTAGAAAGAAGCACTTAACGAAGACGCGGCAGTTCTGGAAGCTTTGGAGTCAGTTTCAACGGTGCTCAGTACACTCGCGACACATTCGCAGATGGACTTGATGATCAACAGCTCGAACGGTTTCGAACTAATTACCACGGCGTTCCTGAGAAGTTTTACAGTCGCACAAAGGTGCCGGTCACCACTCCCGGGAACGCTCGACAATTTCTCAGGCATATGAACGACAATGGAGCCACGAGCGTGGATATGCAAGAACATCGCAGTGGCAGTGGCACCCTCAGTAACTGGGCGCATCGCAGTGATGTATCGGCTCTCTCCTCGACGGACACGAGGTACGGTTGGAATATGAATCTTGTCGATCATCAGCAGATCATTGACACGTTCTGCAAATGCTCAAGAGTTTGGTCGAAGTTCTTCTCTCCAGAGCGCGCTCCATGGTCAGTGGCCAGCGCGGCGGCAGATCCGAAGGTCAAAACCGTGGCGAGAATGATGGACAAGTCATCTTTGCAATTGATCTCGGACACTTGCTACCGGACGAAGGAGGACTCAGCGGACTACATCATCGAGAACCCGGGCAAGAGATGTATTTGGGACGGGTCTCCATTCGAGGACCTGATGGACGATGGCAGGTTCTATCAGAAATTGCATGATCAATGTCGACATGGCCTTCGCGATTCAGAGGGGGCGCCCATTCAGAAAATAATTAGATTTGCAGCATCATTTCGTCTCAAGCGGACAGCGCAGATTTGCAAATGTGCGCGACCGCGCGCCTGGCTAGTTCGCGGTGGTCAGACAACGGAATTATATATATATATATCATGAGAAATTGCGCAGGAACCTCCTCGGGGACATCATTCGTAGACTGGAGAGTGTTCCCACCAGCCCGTTGGACCCGTTGCATTGGACTTGCGATCGCTGCAAGAACGGCAACAAGGCTACTGGGCCACATGCTCGGACGAAAGGTTGCAAGTTCGACCCTCAGAGAGTTCCACCGGCGGCGTCTCCTGGATCGGCATCCGCCCCATCAGCGCTGGCGCCGCCAGCGCCGGCAGCAGCGGCGCCATAATCAGAATCAGCACAGCCAGGTGAAGTACCTCAACAGCCACCTCAGTCATAACCAGCTGTGAAGGCCCCACTGGAGCTACCTCCTGGACTGGCCCCACCCGAGCAGGCCCCAAAGGATAAGGCGAGTTGCGAGGGCGACGCCGCGGACCAGCCCAGCATCTCGAAGATGTTGGCCATCGAGCCCAGCTTCGATCTGCAGCGCTTCAAGCATCAACTCGAGGAGGCGGCCACGGAGCAGGCAAGGTTGGCTCTTTCGCTGGGATTTTCCGTTCAGTTCTGGCACGCGACGGCCGACGAGATGGCATGGTTGTTATCGGCGCTCGGAGTATCTTCAGAGATGATCAAATTGGCACCTCGAGTTTGCATTGATCTATGCGGTTCTTGTCGGAAGTTCGCCCTTCCACTGCGCCGCCCAGCCTCTCGAGCTCATCTCGCGACGAGGTTTAACGGGCGAGTTCAGGGGGACTTATTCTTTCTCTGAGATCAGATGCGGCCCATGCTCGTCGACGAGCACATTCGCTACAGGACGACGGGCAAGCTCGGCTCGAAGACGGGAGTGGGATATCAACGTGGACTGCGCGAGCATTGGATCAGATTTCTCGGACCAATGGAATGGTTTGTTTCAGATCAGGAAGGATCGTTGACAGGCGACTTGGTAGGAACAGCGCTGGGCAGGTATCCCATTCAGCGCGAGCTGGCTGGCACCGACCCGAACGAGGGCCAGCGCGCCGCGACTGGCCTCGTGGAAAGTTACATTCGCAGGATTAAGGCCATAGCCCTCAATAACAAAGTGGACGCTAAACGAGACGGTCTGGGCATTCCTGATGAATCGCTGGTTTATGGAGCTACCATGTCGCAGAATCTGTTACTCAACTACAGCGGCAGCACACTGGCCAAAGCGCTGCCTGGGTTCACCCCTCGCGACTTCTACGACGGCCAGGCTTCTACGGTCACCTCCGTCAGAGGTGCGCTCGTGATCTCGCCCGACACTTGCGAATCAAACGCCAGGGTGAGATCGCGATCGAAACAGAGCGTTCTGAAAGCGATCGTCGAGGAGCGCATCGCAGTTGCTAACAGATCTCGGCCTCCAAGATTGAATGCTGAGAAGATCAAGGTTGGAGATCAAGCGGGCCTATATCGGACTCCCGATAAGAAAGATCAGGGGGGCTGGAGAGGCCCTTGTGAGCTTCCCCGCTTGAAGTCTACTGGCGCGATCGTGGTCTGGAGCGGCTATCCTTATCGCGCCCCTTCGACGCGTGCGGCTGCGTCGACCACTCGCCGGCTGGGTCGCCAGTGTTTTGGATCAGCGCATGACCGCCCATGAGATGGTACACTTGGTGAGCGAATATGTTGACATGCTTGACATCATCGAGGGCGCGATGCCTTTCAAGCCTCAGACCATGGGCAATCTCATTGGAAAAGACGGTCTCCAGCATCAGGCGCCAGCAGATCTATCTCAGAACCCTCCTAAGCTTTGACAGCCAGCAGTGCAGTGTGCGGAGGACGAGTGGGGCATCAAGATCGACGGCATTATCTACGGCAAGTGCGCCAGACGGCTTTTTGATGTCAGTGGCGCATCATTCGGTCGACAGGTAATTCGGGACTGCACTAAGAGATCTCAGCACATCGCGCGCGACATCAACCCCAGCAGGCAAGTGCTGGATATTTCGGCGACGATTCCAGGCACGAAGGATACCGACGCATGCAGCATTGTTTTCTGCGCGTTCAACGCAGCTCCGGAAAACGCCGAGACTGAGAAGTACGTCCTGCCAGACCTGTCCGACATCAGCAGCATCGGCAACGATCCTGGCGATGGCTCACCAGATATCGATATTCCCCTTCAGTGGCCTCATAGTCCACCAGAAGATCATAGAGCACCACCTGATGCACCGGCTCCCGCCGTCCAACCCGGGCCGCCGTCGAGCCCGACATCGGCCGAGGTTGCTCATCCAGCGATGGGTGGGCCGCCAGGTCCGTCTCCGGCCCCGCCAGCTCCACCTGCATTACGAGTGAGCCCAGAGAGGTTTGATATCAGCGATCGGGACATGGCATGGCAACAAGAAGGTGGTAGTATCAGCAGTCCTCCGCGCATCGTGCCTCCGCGACCTCAATTTCCTCCGGCGCCTCCTGCGCCGCCAGCTGCATCGAGGGTTCGGATTCGAGAGCCCGAGGTGGATCAATCGGTTCCGTTCGACGTTGACGACCGCAGCATGGAAGAGATCGTCGGAAGTGGCGGATCACCAGGATTACCTCTAGCACCACCTCCCTCATCCAGTACCGAAGGCGACTGCGCCAATCACGGCGCCGAGGATAGCAACGCCTACTCCGATGGCATCATCACCTATTGAGGCCCCAGCTCCAGCGCCGACATACCTAAGGCGTGGCAGCGGAAGATTGAACGACGGGATCTCAGTGGGTCTCCACCTCGGCAGCGGGATGCTCTTGGAGCGTCAGCAAGGCAGCTGCACCACGGACATCCACGACATCATTACCTCCCACATCTCCACCTGCGGCTCCATCCCCCTCTAAGTCTCCTACAACGGCAGTGCCGCAGACCGAGTCCACCGCGGCAGCTCCAACATCATCGAGCAGCCCGGCTAAGACGAGCTCACCGGCACAGACTACGGACACCCAAGACAAGAAGGAACCAACTCCTGCTAGGATCGACACGCCTGAGGCTGAGAAGGACACCATCGAGTGCGACCATGCTCCAGAGAAGAGCACTGTTAAGTACGATGAGTTTCCTGAAGGGGCGTCTTCGCCAGCACCGACGGTTGATCGCGGTTCTCCCAAGAAAGATGATGCAGTGCAACCATCTCCTGAAAAGTTGCACCTATCTCGAAGAAGCGCGACATCAGTCACGACGACGGCATCGAGATCACTCGGCATGGATTGTCACCGTCACAGCCTCCTGAGAGCAAGAATGTCCTACTTCGATCATCACCAGCTCCTCCTGATACAGGCAAACGATCACTTCCAGTCAAAGACGACGCGAGTGGAGGACATTCGGCCCCGTCATCACCGCCGCAGTTGGCGGAGACGAAGAGGTCTAATATATTTGATGGTTTCGTGGCATTCGGTGAGCAGCAGATCGGCATGGCTCCCGTTCAGGACAGGCACTGGATCAGCGCTTGCATGGCCACAGAGGAGTTGGACGAGCATCAGCGCATCATGATGAACATGGCCCAGGCTGTTTCGGAAAACCTACGACGTATGCAGACAAGACAACATCCTGGACATCATCAGAAGCCCACTGGGTCATGCCAGGCCCGTTCAGACAAGATCTTGCGTTTTACATTGATCTCTTGACTGGTGAAGTGATATATGCACAATCAGATGGCGCTCTAACGGAAGCAGACATCATTTCTCACTGGGACAAGGTCTCGGCAGCTGACAGGGCCGAAGCTAGATCATTCATCGACGACCAGTGTTTGCGCGCGACTCACCCGAACAGCCTGGGCACCAACAGTAATATCGACGCTACATGGGTCAGGTGCTGGCAGAAGGTCAACAATGACAAGAACGAGCTCTCTTGGATCATTAAGTCTCGCCTGTGCGGCAGGGGCTTTCCTGATGCGCAGAAGGGCGACGTGATGGCCCCCTGGCTCTCTCAGAGGATTATCGCTTCGATGGTCTCAGTGGAAAAAGGATCCGATCCTGGAGGCGTGGGATATCTCAACGGCGTGCTTGCAGGGCCTATCCTACGAGACTTTGCATCGCACTGCTAAGCGCATGGGCATCGAAGTCAGAGAGCAGCGGGAAGTGCATCTCACGCCGCCGGCCAGCGTCTGGCGCCATTTCAGGGACTATCCCAAGGCGAACATCAGATTTCCAGAACTTGAGGTACCATTCTTCCTGTTGCAGCTCTTGAAGCCCATCTACGGCACTGTTCACGCTCCACTTCTAGGGCAGCTGGCATTATCATTGTTCGTGATGGAAGGTCTGGCATCCAATCGGTATTCGACGAGAACTTCTTCATGTGGATCAAGGAAGGCAACATCATGATGGTTTGGACTGTGCACGTGGACGACATCATAGTTCTGGCGAGGATGGTTCATCCATGCTGGAGCATGGCTGAGATGGAGAAACGTGTCGGGGAGATCAAGCGTCATCAGCTATTGTTCATTCACATGGGCGTGAGCTACGAGCAGCTAGGGCCCAGGCACGTGTTCATCCACCAGGAGAGCTTCACGGACTCATTCAAGCAGATCTTCATTGAGCTGGCGCTGAAGGGCAAGACGGAGAATGGGTGCAACCCCAAGCATCAGCATGACTTGAGGAGCGCGCTTTGTAGTTTGTTGTGGTTCTGTCAGACGCGCGAGGACATCTACTGTGAGGTAGTGCAGTTGCAGCAGCCAGTGCGCATGGCCAACGCCGGTCATCTCAAGCAGGCGAGCCTCCTGATCGATCGAGCTCAGCGGAACAAGAAGATGGCGGGACTCCACTTTGCACCGCTCAGATATCCAGCCCGGCTGGTTTCAGTTGGCGATGCAAGCCATGGCGGTACCAAGACATTTTACCTCAAGATGACACCGCAGTGTGTTTGATGGAAGATGACATGCGTGAGCTTCGAGTCGCGGGATATCAGGTTTATCCAAATGACGCTCACATGATTGGCGGAAGCTGTCATTCGTTATCTCTGGCCTCGGGCAAGGCAGAGCGGATGTCGCGCTCGACGCGTCATGCAGAGACGAACGCGGGCTACAATATCAATCAGAGTGCTCAATTCATCGCCCTCAAACTCACAGAGATCATCACATGTACTGACGTTCAACACAAGGCAGTGGACATAATGGAGACATTGGATCGAAGTTTGTATCGGATTCGAGTTGATCACTGCGCGGTTTGCATGGACTTCTGGCAGCTGTGTTGTGGAGCCAAAGGCGTGCCGAGTGGCAGATGATCCCGACTGGCAGTGCTATCTATGCGTGAGGCACGATTGCCAGGGCGCACCCGTCATTTTCTTCACCTCCCAACGGAAGGTCTGTTGGCCGACGGGCTCACTAAGTGCGACATCTTCAAGCTACTCATGACACACATGACGACTGGAGTTTGGCAGATTGCAGTTCCCAAGAACAAGTGTGTTACATTGCTGACCATCATCGAGCTTCAGACAAGCTTCGACGAGACAGACCTTTTGCACCTGAAGAACTAGCAACTGATGATATACTATTTCGTTTCGACATATGCTGGAGTGCTACGCCATGGTCGGGTCTTCGACCAGAGCGCGCGCGTCGGCGTGATCTACGTGATAGCGTACTACGCGAAGGCTTGATCCCTTCGTTCGCCTGTTTCCTCAGGCCGGAGTAATAGCTGTTCTTATCGCTTAGAGGTTGTATGTTTAAGCATGCGAGTGAATTTGTTTTTTTTTCAACCTTTATCGAGCTTGTAAATCACCATCGGTTTGAAGAGTTTAAATGTTTTGATCTTCAATTCGGGGCGCTGGAACCGAAGTTGGGATTTCAGGTAGTTAGGCTTGGCTTTAGAGCTCTAGTAGATCGGCGCTGAGCCTCGCAGACAGACAGACAGACATGCATGATGCCCGCATTCGCATCGGGGCTCAAGGAGAAACATTTCTCTTATCTCCGCTGGGGAAGGGGGGGGGGGGGGGGGCGGGGGGGGGGGGGGGGGGGGGGGGGGGGGGGGGGCGGGCGAGGGGGGGGGGGGGGGCGAGGGGGGGGGGGGGGGCGGGGAGGGGGGGGGGAAGGGGGGTCGAAGCTACCCCCCCGTCCCTCCCTGTTCCAGGGCAGACGGCGAGCCCGGGCCTTCCTTTCAAAGGGGGGGGGGGGGGGGGGGGGGGGGCTCGGGAGCTCCCCTCCTTCCCTCCCATTTTGGTCGATCTGGGTGCGAGGGGGGGAGGGGGGGGCGCTTCAAGCTGCCCCCGCCGCCCTCCTTTGCAAGGGGGGGGGGGGGGGGGGGGGCTTCCGACGCTGCCCCCCCCCTCCCAGGGCCGCGGCAAAATGGTGGAATCTCGGCAGACAGGTGCGCGCCGCAGCGTTCGAGTTTTTTGTTAAAAAATGAATAGCGTCGAGAGCGCGCGCGAGCTCACGGCCATGAACGCGACGGGCGCGCGCTGGACTTCCATGATAGATACCCCGAAGACCACTGCCAGGCCCTTCCTCGAGCGCAAGGAAAATAAGCAGGGCGCCAGCAGCCAGCCCATGGCCGGAAAGCTGGCAGTACCATTGCAGAGTGCAGAACCACGCAAGCAGCACATCGGCTCGCACCTCGGCGCGGACATAGAGGAAAGGCTGGACATTCTCACCCGGGCCGTCAAGATACAGAGGCAACTCCACGACGCGAAAAGGGAGAGACCTCGAGGCGCTGGCCTTCGCAGCACGGCAAAACAAGGCAGCATTCCGAAGCGCGTCGACTCAGCAGGTGCTTGGCAGGCGCCAGTCATGGCAATGTGAAGCGCAACAGCAGCGGAGCAACGCATTCCACACCCAGTCTCGCAGAATGGGCACAACATGCGCCCCGGGCTGGCGCTCGAGGAGGAATTTCCAGCCCCCCCCGATTGACCGACCTCGTCGCAGAGAAACGCCTACTCCAAGGAAGCACTGGCGACTTCGACGACGCGCGCGCGCCGCGGCCCCAGGCGCCGCATTGCGTCGCGAAGGAAAACGTGGCCAAACTTTTCCACGGGGACAAGAAGCGCCTAAGGCATTTCAAAAAGCATTGAATCTTGAATGGTCGCCCCCAGCAGAGGTGCCCCAGATCACCCTGCAGCCGACGGTCATCGCAGAGAGGAAGCCGCAGGCCCTGGGCCCCAGGTGCAACGAGGAGTTCATCGAGGCGCCGTGGACAGACAACCGCTTTGAATGTGTTTTAGATCACACCTACAGGGTCGGCATTGCTCTACTGCGTGCCCATCGCAGCCAGAGCTTCACGCCCGACATGATGAACGCCAAGCTTTCATTTCCAGGACTACGTGTTGTGCACATGGCGTGCCCGTTGTGGAGATGCGTGCGCCGCCAACTACACTGCCTGCCACTGCCGTGGTCTCCGCCGCCGCATGCTCGCGGCTGCCGGCCGCGTCTTAGGAGAGAAGTTCCCATGGCTGCATCGCGCGTCGTCGCGCCCAGTCACCAGCGAGCGAATCGCGATTTCGTCGCGTCCAGCAAGGGCGCCACCAACGCGTTCCCCAACATTATGATCGTCGAAGCTGCGTAAGCAATATTCACATGCTTGGCCGGCGCAAACGGAAACTCTTCGCTCAAACATGCAAGTGCGCCGCTGTCACGGTCGACGGCTTCGACAAGTCTCGAGATTTCATAATGGGAGCTGGAGTTCTGCCTGGACGCAGCGCAGGGCGCACTTCTTTCAAATTTGCGTGCGAGCAGCCAGCGGGCCAGTGGCTGGGCCGCGCGACGCAGGACTCAGATCCGTTCGCCTCTTTCTCCCCCGTCACTCAAGACATGGTCGACCTCTCAGTCTACCTATGCGTGGGCGACGTCCTCGAGACTTCGCAGAGCGGCCCGATGCAAGCGCTCAAGACCTGCAGGAATATCTACGCGGACAAGGGCAAGGAGGCGGGGAGAGGACGCGCTCCAGGGCAACCGGATGGCCATCTACATGACGTTCATTCCGACTCTTTGCACTGGGGGCGCGGGCGGAAGATTCGAGCAGCTCTTGCAGAGCATGGGCGGTTCCTGGACAGGATCAACGCAGCGACGGAACTTCGCGAAGCCAAGCGCGCTGCGATTCCAACAAGGCGAATATCACTCTCTTCATCGAGCACGGCGCCTGACCGTCTCGAACGAGGGGGGCCCGGCGGACAAGCGGAAGAAGTGCGCATCAGTTCAAGGGCGCCATCCACAGAGCCCTTCTTCAAGTTGGCGCAGTGGCAAAGGGGGGCGCGGCGTCAGCGGGAATAATTGCGGATGAACTGGCCGCCTGTCTTGCAGGATTGTGAATTCAGATGTGGATGCCAGTCCATCTGCGCCACGGTCGGTTTCAAGTTCTACGCCTTCGTGGCGGCCCTTGTGCATGCGCCTCTTGGCCAAGGCCAGGTGATACCTGGCCAGACATGGCGGTGGTGCACAGGTGCCGCCTGCGGGTCTCAGGGCGGTGCGCGGGGGCCCCGTGGCGGTGGGCGCGCGCGTCGAGGCCCACTCGCTGAGCTCCCAGTCGATGAACGGCCTGAGGGGGGCGGTCATCGGGCGCGGGGACAAGGGCGCCGACCGCGTTTCGGCCGCGCGCCCAGGGGGAAGGGAGACAGGACAGGCCTTCGCAGGAGGACGCGGGGCTTATCATATCCGCGGACGACTTGCATGTACCGCATCGCTTTGGTGTTTCCCGAGGCGTCGTTGACCTTCGACCCAAGAATGGCGCGGTGAATAGTTTCTCGGCCCTCAAAACCGACAAACTGTGCACCGTGCCGCGTTCAAGCAGGGTTCGACGGAGCTTGGACATGGAACGGTGCACGAACGCTTCCAGCCTTCTGAGATGCCCCCTGTGGCTTCGGAGAAAGCTTGCAACGCTTCTCAGACGGCTGGAGGGTTCGTGAGCCTTCTGAAGAGGCCCGCCCCCTCAATCTTCCCCCTTGGGCGCGTTGCCGAGCGTCCGCGTGGATTTCGGGGGGATGGGCGAGAAGGCCGTTAAGACTGCGAGCTTGAGGCCTGCAGTTTGTGCGGCATGAAGTTTTGCTGAAGCTACTGCTGCTATTGCTGCTCCTCCTCCTCCCTTCTCCTCCTCCTCCTCCTCCTCCTCCTCCTCCTCGCCCTCATCCTCATCCTCTTCTTCCTCCTTCCCATGCTGATGCTGTTGATGTGATGATGGTGCTGCTGCTGGTGCTGCTGATGCTGTTGCTGCTGATGATGACGTTGATGATGCGGTTGATGATGATGAGGATGATGCTGATGATGATGATGCTGATGATGATGCTGCTGCTGATGATGATGATGATGCTGATGATGATTATGCTGATGCTGATGATGATGATGATGATGGTGGTGGTGGTGGTGGTGGTGATGATGATGATGATGATGATGATGATGATGATGATGATGATGATGATGATGATGATGATGATGATGAGTAGGGGGAGGAGAAGGAGGAGGAGGAGGAGGAGGAGGAGGAGGAGGAGGAGGAGGAGGAGGAGGAGGAGGAGGAGGAGGAGGAGGAGGAGGGAGGAGGAGGAGGAGGAGGAGGAGGAGGAGGATGAGAGAAAACAAAGCTAAGAAGGTGGATGAGGAGGAGAAAGTGGATGAGGATCGGGAGAAGGGAGTGGAGGAGGAGGAGGAGGCAGAGGAGGAGGACGAGGAACAAGTGCTAGAGAGGTAAGGTGGAGGGGTGGGTGGGGCATAGATCATTCATCTAGTAAGCGAAGGGACTAACGGACGGGCGGACGGATGTGTTGACCTTTGTCCTTCTGCCTTTTTCACTTTCCTTCCCCCCTCTCCTCCCCCCCTCGCCCCCCCCCCCCCCCGCGAGGGGCAAGTGGTGGGACGGCAAGGTCGTCGCCCCGCCGTGCTTCGGGAAGGTCCGCTGCGACGTTGACGGCAGGGAGTATGACATGGAGGAGGGTCCGCTGCGCTTCCGGGGCCCGCTCGAGTAGAGGCAGGGATGAGGGCGTTGGGAGGAAGGAGGAGGAGGAGGAAAAGTAAAAGGAGGAAGATGACCAGTGTAAACCCAAGACGCATCAACGATGTTGCAGTAACCCCTCCCTCCAACTTCCCAGGATTCCTTGAACGGTAACGCCGCGAATGAACGTTGCTGTTGCGTCTCGACGGTCCTGAATCGTACCAAAACGCTGCTCTTGGGACCTGAGCGCTGCGAATCAATGTAACTCCTGCGCCCTGACAGTCCGACATCGTGCTGAAACACCGCTTCTAATATGTTTACCCTGAGAATCCTTAAAACTGTTACGTATAGATGCCGAAGACGGGTGTGCGTTGCGTTAAGGCCGGAAACGCAGATTGACAAGGCCCCTCTCCATGTGGTAAGCTCTTGCAGTTCATTGTAACACATGCGTGTGGTGGTAAGACGGAAAAGCAGATTTTGAAAACCACCCGCCCTCCGTCCGCGAAGCTTTTGCATTGTTTCAGGCGAGGGCGTTCGGCGCAAAAGCAAGAGCCACATGGGACCGCCTTCAATCGTTGCAATCCTTACACCGATATGAGACGAATACGCGCGGCGCTAAAGCGAGAGCCACAGTTTGCAATTGAACGGCCCTCCATCCGTGAAGATCATGCAAATGTTCAAAACGAGTGCGCGCGGCTCTAAGGTGAGTGCTGCATTTTGAAAACCACTCGCCCTCCACCAATGAAACTTTATAATGTTTCAAACGAGAATGCGGCGCTAAGGTGGGAGCGTAACATTGAACGCGGCCCGTCCGTGAACATGTTGCAAATGCTTCAGCTTCAGGGTCGCAAAGGGTAAGGATGTCTCGGGCGAACCGCCCGCTCCGCCCTACCGTCAGGTCTCGGAGTGTGACAGGGAGGAGCTATTCATATGGACAAGCAATGGGCGAGGAGGATGAGGAGGAGGGGGAGGAGGAGGAGGTTGAGGAGGAGGAGGATGAGGAAGGATAAGACCAGCAGTTTGAGGCGGTGGGGGATGGTTGTTGGGGTGCGGAGGACGACGACGACGAGGAGGAGGAGTAGGAGGAACAGCGGCAACAGGAGCAGCAGCAGCAGCAGCAATTCGAGGTGGTGGGGTGTGGGGGGCGGGGGGGGGCGGTTAGGCGGAGGGGGAAGAACGAGGAGGGTGGGGATCAGGTCGCAGGGACGAGTGAAGGAGGATGGGCCCTGTCCATGACGTCGGTGGCCTGGGAATGCGGGCGCGGGCGGTCGGGGTTGCATGCCTTGGTGCCCTCGATTACGGAGGTCGCTCAGGTCGTTCAGGACCGAACGATTGGCACGGTGCCAGAAGCGAAGGTCCCGCGCCGTCATGACCAGAACCCGTCTTGCTCCCCCTCAATCGGGAGAGGGCGAGTATGAGTTAGCACCGCGTTTGCGAACATAATAGTATCCACACAGATGTTGAGATCGGTCTGACAACTGCACACGTATACATATTGCAGCATCGACATGTGTATATTTGTCTGTAACTTATGTACACGTCTAGAGCTGCGTGTGTATATGCATCTTTGCATAATCATATACATCTAAAGGTGACATGATTGGGCTATGGTGTGTGCATGCGTGTATACATATATATATATATACGTAGATGCATATGTGGGCGTTCGGGCATGCCCGCCCCCGTAAGACAAACCAGCATCAGAGGGAATCGAGTGTCAAAGATGTATTTCCTCCTCGTCGTCGTCCTCTTTCCCCTCGTCTTTATGATCCCCAGTTCCCTCCTTCCGCTCATCCTTCCCCGTCGTCCTCATTTGCATTATCCACCTCTTCTTCTTCCATTTGGGGGCTGGAGCCCCAAACAGCACAATGGAACAGCAAACAAACAAATAACCTGACGTGTTGCCTGCAAAACTGCTAGGCATACCATGTGCAACACACACAAACACTCCACATATCACAGGGACACCAACCTTCTTCTTCCTCCAGCTGGGGGCTGGCTAACCCAAAACACACAGTGGACACAACGCAACACACCAAAGCAACTGAGGTGCTGGAGGCAGACACGTTAGATACCCTATTCGAATACAACCCGACAACAAAAAAAAGATCCCAGGGACCCCCGTCCGAAGGGAACCGTACGTCCGACGGGAAACCGCGCATTCTCTGTGGAATATGTGTCTTTTGTTGTTGTTTGGTTGGTGCAATGGTTTTCCTGAAGTTTCTGCCTCCAGTACTTCAATGGTTTCGTTTCTTTGTGGTGTCCTGAAAGTTTTCCTAACGTTCTGGTGTATCTTCAAGAGGGGGGGTAGTAGGATGATGAGGAGGAGGACCTGGAAGAGGAGGAGGAAGAACATGAGGAGGAGGAGGGCGGAACATGAGGAGGAGAAGGATGAGGGCGGAGACGGAGGAGGAGGAGGAGGTGGAGCAGTGTAAAACCAAGGGTCATCAACGATGTTGAAATGAACCCTTCCTCCAAGCTCCCTCTTCATAGGCCACCACACCGGTTCATTTGCATTGAGGAAACTGCCTCATTGGAAGGCAGCCGTTTGAAGATCCTGAAGCATGCCGAAAGATTGTTCTCGGGATTTCAACACCACGTATCAACCTGACTGCTGCGTCTTGACGATCCAGAATCGTGCCAGGGTGCCATTTCTGTAGGATTTCAACAGCGCGAAGCAACATAGCTGTTGCACCCGCATAATCTTGAACCCGTCCAACACACCATTCCTTGTACGCGGATCTTGGGATCCCGCGAAACTCTTGCGAAGTTCGAAAACGAACGCGCGCGGCGCTGAGGCGAGAGCCTCATTTTGAACAGGAGCCGCCCTCAATCCATGCAGCTCTTGCAACTGTTGAAGACGAATATGCGCGGCCCTAAGTCGAGAACCACATTTTGAAACCGACCCGCCTTCAATCCGTGAAGCCCGTGCAAATTGTGAAAGCGAATGTGCGTGGCGATCCTAGGCGATAGCCACAGTTTGAAAACGACGCCTTCAATCCGTGAGACTCGTGTAAATGTTTAAGACCAATGCGCGCAGGGCTGAGGCGAGAGCCGCATTTTGAAAACCACCCGCCCTCGATCCGTGAAGCTCTTGCAAAGCTTGAAAACGAATGTGCGCGGCGCTAAGGCGAGAGTCACATTTTGAGCACGACCCGCCGTCAACCCGTGAAACTACATTTTTCAAGTTTCGGAATCATAAGTGGTGAGGGGGTCTCAGGCGAAACGCCCCGCCCGCCCTAAAACTTGGCCTCGGTGTGCGACAGGGAGGAGTTAGAGGAAGCGGCAGCGAACGGAAGTGGGAACGAGAAGGAGAGAGCAGGGAGTGAGCCATGAGGGAGCCATAAGGGAGCCATGATGGAGCCATGAGGGAGCCATGAGGTAGCCATGAGGGGGCCGTACGGGAGACATGAGGGGAGGGAGTTTCAAAAGAACCATAAGGGAAGACTACCATTGGATAACCACTTCGCACAATTTGCCTGGCGAGTGGGCCAGTCATATGCTGTTGTGAATACCGCAGCTGTACGCACCGCATGCGGAGGCGCCCCCCATGGAACTGCCAATCTTGTGAAGGGGGGTGCCAAAATGGGTGCGGTGGCCGCATGCGAACGCTGGCAGTTTGGCCTTCGGTGGGGCTCCCTATGGCGCCGCGACACGTGTGAGGGGTGTGCCAACATGTGTGTGGTGGCCGCATGCGGACGCTGGCACTTGGGCGTTCGGTGGGGCTCCCTATGGAGCCACGAAGCGTGTGAGGGGTGTGCCAAAATGGGCGCGGTGGCCGCATGCGAACGCTGGCAGTTTGGCCTTCGGGGGGCCCCCCTATGAAGCTACGCAGGGTGTGACGGGTGTGCCAGCATGGGTGCGGTGGCCACATGCGAACGCTGGCACTTGGGCGTTCGGTGGGTCTCCCCATGGACACACGAAACGTGTGAGGGGTGTGCCAAAATGGGCGCCGTGGCTGCACGCGAACGCTGTCATTTGGGCCTTCGGTGGGGCTCCTTGTGAGGCCACGCAACTTGCCAAGAGTGTTCCAAAATGATTGCGGTGGCCGCGTGCGAACGCTTGCATTCGGGCGTTCGGTGGGGCTCCCTCCCTGTAGGGCCACGAAACGTGCGAGGGGTGTGCCAACATGGGTGCGGTGGCCGCATGCTAACGCTGGCACTTGGGCGTTCGGTGGGGCCCCATGTGGGGCCACGCAACGTGTGAGGGGTGTGCCAAAATGGGTGCGGTGGCCGCATGCGAACGCTTGCATTTGGGCCTTCGGTGGGGCCCCCCACGGAGCAACGAACCGTGAAGGATGTGCCAAAATGGGTGCGGTGGCCGCGTGCGAACGCTGGCATTCGGGCCTTCGGTGGGGCCCCCTTATGAAGCTACGCAGCGTGCGAGGGGTGTGCAAAAAATGGGTGCGGTGGCCGCATGCGATCGCTGGCACTTGGGCATTCGTTGGGGTCATTCCCTGTGGGGCCACGAAACGTGTGAGGGGTGTGCCAACATGGGTGCGGTGGCCGTGTGCGAACGCTGGCATTTGGGCCTTCATTGGGGTTCCCTTCCTAGAGCAACCAAACTTGTGGGGGGGTGCCAACCCTGGGTGCGGTGGGCGCACGCGAACGTTGGCATTTGGGCCGTCGGGTGGGGCTCCCTATGGGGCCACGAAGCGTGCGAAGGGTGTGCCAAAATAGTTGGCGGGTTCGGAGGGCAGGGGCAGCGATCGGAGGAGGACGGGGAGCGAGGAGGAGAGGAGGAGAGGAGACGCGGGGCGTTGTCTCTTCAAAGCGAACGCCCAACGCCACAAGGTGGTTGGGAACATGTGCGGTGGTGACGCCCTTCGGGACACAGACGGGGGGCCGATCACGAGACAACGCGAACCGTGGGCCGCGAAACGTGTGAGGAATGTGCCGGAAACGATGCGGTGGTCCTGGTGCCATGCGAACGCAGCCATTTTGGCCCTCGGTGGGGCCCCATATTGGGGCCACCAAACGTGCGATTGGAGTGCCGAAA